GACCCTTCTTCAGAAAGAAGGGTCCCAACCCAAAACATCAACTTTCCTGCTGTTCTGATGCTTCCTGGCCTGCTGTGTTCCTCCAGATCCACACTGTGTTATTTCTATATATAAAACAAAGGATACTAATCTAAAGGTTGTGCAGAAGCTGAGAGATCTGTGTACAAATGAACTTAGGTTAATAAAGGTGGCAATTCAGGTAGACAGATTAATAAAGCACACAGTATTTTAGGCATCATTAATAGTGGCATTGAGTACAAGAATAGAGAAATTATGATGAATTAATATAAGACACTGGTTAGTCCCAGCTCAATATTGTTCTGGGCGCCACACTGTAGGAAGGATATGAATAAATTCATGAGAGTATAGAAGGGATGAGACACTTGAGTTATGATTATCGATCAGAAAAGAAATTTAAAAGGAGATTTAATAGAAGTTTTCACAGTCATGAGAGGTTTGGACTTAGAAGACGGGAAGAAACTATTTCTGCTCAGAAGCAGATCAAGAGCCAGAGGCCACAGTTTTGAGGAGCTCTGCAAAAGAAACAAATGCAAGGGCTATTTTTTCAACAAACAGAGAACTAAGAAAATAGGAGCAGGAGAAGGCCATTAGGTCCTTCAGGCCAGCTCTGCCATTCAATATGATCATGGCTGATCATCCAACTCAATACCCTGTTCCCACTTTATCCCCCACTTAAGGTCATTTAGTCCCCTCCTACACTCCTTGATTTCCTACCCCCCCTTCTACTCCCTCATGCCTTGATCCCCCCCTTGCATCTCGATCCTCCTCCATTTGTCTTTCTAACCCCTTCTCCCTCCTGATTGCCCTCTCTACCCTCTCACCGTCCCCCTCAAGCCCCTTCTCTACCACCTCCTCTTGAGCATAAATCACCCTCACTAAATCCTCCCCTTGATGCCCGCATACCCATTGATCCTCCCAAACCCTTCAATCATTGTCTCTAAACCCCTGATCCACCTCTTTTAGCCCCTCCACCTCAATCACCCTTTACCCCTCCCTTTCAATCCCCCTGCCCACTGCTCTTGCCCTTTGATCCCCTCTCTATCCACCCCCTAGATCCTCCTCTCTATGGTCCTCCACTACCCCTCAATCACCATGTCTAACCGTCTCAGTTCCAGTTTCTAAGCCCTCCCTGACCCTCGATCCTCTCTTTGGACCCCCAAACACCCTCTCTACACTCCGTCCAGTCTCTCAATCACCACTCCACAGTCTCTCAGCCCCTCAATCACCATCTCTTCAGTCTCTCAGCCCCTGGATCACCACCTCTACAGTCACCCTGCCACTGATCATCACCTCAACACTCTCAATCCCCAGGTCACCACCTCCACAATCTCTCATCCCTCGATCACCATCTCCACAGTCTTTCAGCCCCTTGACCACCACCTCCCCAGTCATCCAATTCCTCGATCACCGTCTCCACAGTCTTTTAGCCTCTCGATCACCACTTCCCCAGTCACCCCGCCATCTCCACTGTCTCAGACCCTAGATCACCACCTCCATAGTCTCTCAGTCCCTCAATCTCCCTTTCCAGTTCCTGGATTTCCCTTTGTAGACCCCCTCGATCTCCCACTCTACAGCGTCTGCAGCTCTGATGAATAGTTATGTGGACTCGAAACGTTAGCTTGCTCTCTTTCCATGTATGCTGCCTGACTCGCTGTGATCTCCAACATTTGTTGTTTTCAGCACAGGTCCCAGCATTGATTCTTTCCAATCCTGTCTACCAGCCCCACCCAAATCGCAGTCCATTGGCCAGCCCTGAAGCTCCGTTCCTCCAGCTGATTGGTTGCCCGTTGCCATACCTACTAGTCGCTGTTTGGTGTGAACCAGTTAATGACGCCCCGCCCCCGCGCGACTGATCGTTCGAGTCGCAGGCGGCGTAGGGCTCCGCCCACCTAACGCTCATTGGTCGCTTGGGGGCAACGCTTGCCTCCGATTGGCCCCTGTATCTGGGTCCATGGTCAGCTGAGCTGATCTAGTCTGGTCGAGAAGAATGGAGCCTGCAGCCGGGTGAGAGTGTATATGACGTTGAATAGATCATATAGAATGGAGACTGTATTATATCGAATATAGAAAGAAAAGTCACGTGCAGAACGTATCATTAGAGATAATAAATCATATAACGTATCATTATAGAGAATGTATAGTTTAGAATATATCTTAAGGACTATCGTATACTATATATTGAATATATCAGAACATAGCAGATACTGAATATCGTATGGAGAATATCATAAAGAGAGGGGCTACCAAAGAGAGAAGTAGAGAGGCTTGTATCGAGCAGATAAGATATTTATGTGGCTAGTTATATTTAGAGATTATATTCGAAAGAGGGCAATATATGTAGAGCGTAATATAGAGGGATTCTATATACAGGAAGGTTTTATAGGGTGATATAGAAGATTTTCTTACACACGTGAGTTATATATTTAGAGGAGGCATGGTATATGAATGGTTTTATAGGTTGTTTATGTGTGTATATCAAATTATGTAGGCAATAGAGGACAGCGCAGAATTAAGTACAGACTGAAGCATCCTGTGATCTGTAAATTAAGCTACCTCTACAGTGGCCCTATCAAACACTCCCAAGACAGTCCCTTTGTGTTTGTTGCGGCACATTGGCTCAGTGGTTAGCACTGCTGCCTCACAGCGCCAGGGACCTGGGTTCGATTCCACTCTCAGGCAATTGTCTGTGTGGAGTTTGTACATTCTTCCCGTGTCTGCATGCGTTTCCTCCGGGTGCGCTGGTTTCCTCCCACAGTCCAAAGATGTGCAGGCTAGGTGGATTGGCAATGCTAAATTCCCCACAGTGTTCAGGGATTTGTAGATTAGGGGGATGGGCCTGGGCCTGGGTGGGATGCTCTGAAAGTCGGTGTGGACTTGTTGGGCCGGAGAGCCTGTTTCCACACTGCAGGGATTCTATGAATCTATGAACTCTCTCTGTAAGAGTTTTCATTGTCCTCGAGGATGATAGCACAATTGTAAAAAGTGTGAATACAGACTAACTAGATTCCACTTCCTAACCCTACAAGGCTCTCAAGGGAGCTTTTGCAGTCTGATTCTGAAATAAGCCAGTTTAGCACAGTCTGTGATGGAATCTAGGACATTCCTTAGCCTTCGGCCTCTCAATATGTCAGCTGACTCAACCATTGGAAAATTGTCAAACATAGTTAGTTTCAAAAACCTCTTGCTTTTGGAGAAGTGGGACATCTCCAAGGCAATAGAAGGTTTTGTTTGTCCACACATCCACACTTTCCTAATGTGTGCATGAGTTTCTTTCCAACAATGTGTAGCTGGCGCTGAGGATTTAGACAAAGTCAAGTAAAAATACACGTTACAGTCAGTGATTTCTTGTCTATGGCAGGGTGAATGTTGGGCTTGTGTCAGCTCTATATATAGGATGTATTTCTCCTGTTCACAGGTGTTTGCGGAGAAGAGGTGGCCCATATAAAACTGAACCAGTTACAGATTTGATGCACTGGAGGCTGTCTAATGTTGAGGGCAGACAGACTTGGAGGTATATCGACTACAGAGAAACAGAAGACAGGCAACAGACAATGCTGGAGCTACATTCACTGGGGCTTGACACTGTATGTATCTATATCATTAAGACTTTCAATGTGACTCTGTCTTCAAACCAATATGGACAGCCATCATGTACAGTCCATTATTTTATTTACAAACGAGGCACTGAAAGAGCAAAGTCTAGATTCACATTTGAAGTAAAATCTCATTGCTGTATCTTTCATCTTCTGAAATGGTAGGCTTGACTGAATGATACAGAATAGGAGACCACCATGTGTGCCTGTACAATCCTTTTAATTCCTTTCTTTGTCGCTCTGTAGATGTATCTCCTTCAGCTACATGTCCAATTTTTTTTTCAATGCTGCAGTTGAACCTGTATCCCTGATACTTTCAGGAAGTGAATTCAGCCCACAGCAACTCCATGGATTAATAAAGTTCTGTTGTGCCACTTCTGTTCCTCCTGCCGATCAGTTTAAATCGGTATCCTTTGCTGACCGACACTTCTGCCACTGAAGCCAGTTTCCCTTTATTTCCAGATATCAAAATTGTTCATGATTTTTCTGAGTACCGCGATCAAATATCCTGACTTTCTTAGATAACACAGTGTGGAGCTGGAGCTTTCCTGCTCCTGTGATGCTGCCTGGCCTGCTGTGTTCCTCCAGCTCCACGCTGTGTTATCTCTGACTCCAACATCGGTAGTTCTTACTGTCTCTCCTGACTTTCTTAGTTTTGTAAGCACATCCTGTAGTCTCTCCATTTAGCTTTGACCCCGATCCCTGATAATGTTAGAGAAAATCCACTTTGAAACTTTTCAAAGACAATGAAATCATTCTAAAATCACTGCCCAGACGTTGTTGAAACACCATTTTATCATCAACAAAGGAATCCCTTTACTTGACACCTTGCTGTGGCCCACCTTGTACTGTCATTTGCCTGATGGTGCCATGGATGTGATGTCGACTGCACTCCCCCAAGATGTCAACACCCTCACTAGTAGTCAATTTAATTTTATACGTTTTCAATTACCGTGAATGCTTAAACCATTATTCTTTTGGTGTGTTGAGATGAGTGTTGGTAGCTCCCTGTTGCTCTGCAATCTCCAGGAAGTAAATATTAATTGCCAGGGCACCGTATGCCTGTGAGTAACCTGAAAGGCAAACCGTAGCATTCAAAAACACTGTTTCACTTGCCTCAACAACTTTTTGAACAGCCAGATGTCATCATCCAATCAAATAGCAGGTCAGGATGTACATTCAGTTTGGGTGGAGATGAGGAACAGTAGGGGAGCAAAATCACTCGTGGCAGTGTTTTCGGGCACCCGGACAGTAGCCAAAATGTGGGATGGAGTATTCAAAAAGAAATGTTGGATGCTTGTGATAAAGGGATGACAATGAATGTAAGTGATTTTAATCTTCGTATACACTGGAAAAATCAGATTGGTAATGATAGACTGAATTAGGAGTTCATAGAAAACTTTCAGGAGAGTTTTTTAGAGCAACCATATCAGAACCAAACTCAGTGTAGTTTATATCCCGTTTAGTATTATACATTGTGACATGACTAATTAGTGACCTCCATAAAGGCACCAGTATGGAGCAGTGATCATAGTATGATTGGATTGTGACTTGAAAGGGAGAAGAGAAGTTCTAAGACTGGTATTTTAATTTTGAATAAGGCAACTCTGTGGGCATGGAAACTGAGCTAGTTGAAGTGAACTGGGATTTTAGGCTAGGACATAAATCAATAGAGAAGTAGTGGGAGACATTTAAAGAGATGTTTCAGACCAGTCAGAATAAGTAAGATTTTACACTCTCAAAAAATAGAAGGGGCAGCCCTACCATCCATGGTTGACTAAAGAAGTTGAGGCTTGCATCGATATTAAGGAAAAGCAGATAACTGCACAAAGATAGAACCAAAAATAAAGAAGGGCATAGAAGGACAGAAAGTTAGCTACAAATGTAAAAATGGATAGCGAGAGTTTTTACAGGTATTCAAAAGGAAAAGAGTAAGTTAAGTGAAACAAATATAATCACTCCATTTAAGTGGAGAGGGAGGCAGGAAACTATTAACCAGTTAACTTGCTATCACTTCTGGGGTAGGTATTAGAATCGATCATTCAGGAGGTTAATGCTCAAATCTCTGTACTCAAACACCCCTGCCCTGTCTACATTGATCTCAGGAATGGAAGTGTTTGTGTATTCACCCCTGAACACATAGTTAGAACAGGGGGACAGTGGGGTTTGAGTTTTGGTGTAATGCAGTTAAAAAAAAAAATCCAAGCATATAATGCCTTGTGTTTCAGAGTAAATTTACCAGGGATTTACCAAGAGCTGCGACACCACAAGAGGCAGTTCTGCAGGGAATGACATTTTATGCAAAGCTACAGGCTGAGGATGGACATTGGGCTGGAGACTATGGTGGACCCCTATTCCTTCTACCAGGTTAGTTGGGAATGTTCCAGAAATGGACCATGGGTACACTTGCCGTTCATCATGCTGGTTTCTGATCCCCTCCATATCAAGGGAAAAACTTCCAGAACAAACACCCCTGCAAACCCCACACCACCAGTAAAGAAGGACCAACAACACACTGGAGAATGGAGATATTGGGATATGATGTGTAGTGCGGGTGTTAGGGCTTGAGTTTTGAGCCATTATTTCAACTGCTTTTTTTCTTTGTATCTCTCTACATTACACCCCGTAAATCGATGGGAAAAATAAGGAAGGGTAACGTTATCTATTTTCTTGAGGCTTTCTCCCTGGTCTAGGGAAATCCCTTGCATACTTTCTAATGGTCCTTCTGACTTTAGGAAATGCTGACCTCAAATAATTGTGGAGCTGTCCGTCTTAATCCCAAAAAGATGTATTCAGTTTTGGGTTGAATATAATCTACCCTAATGTGAAAACAAAAATGAATTTTAAATAAGAATATCTTTGTTAATGATTCGTATCTTTTAGGGCTACTGATTACATGTCATGTAGCAAAGATATCATTGTCAGAGGCTCAGAGGAAGGAGATGATTCGATACCTGCGCTCAGTACAGCTTCCAGATGGCGGATGGGGACTGTAAGTATTAATAAATTTGTAACAAAACAAAACACGGAATGGAGAAATGGAGTTTGTTCTGATGTTAACCGGTCTTTCCTTCGGTATCTTGGGATGAATTCTAGTCTAAACTAGAAGATGATGGGAATCTGGAGCTCACTGCCTATAAGGGTGCTAAAGAAACCCTTATGACATTGAAGAACTAATTAGATGTGAACATGTGAAACCATACAAGGCAATGGGTCAAGTGCTGGAAAATGAGATTAGAATAGTTAGGTGATTGTTTTTGACCGGCGCAAACATGATGGCCAATCTTTTTCTGCGCCTTAGAGCTCTATAAATCTAATAGATGCTGAGGCTCGAAGGTTGACTGCTGTTAAAATTCACTGATGACTTGAATTGCTGTGGTTTTCAAACAATGTATAATAGTCTATGGTTACAATTCTGGCCGGAAGTCATTATTTCCAGCAAGCTACCCTCCCCATGCCCTGACAAGTGATCCTGTAGAAAGGAATTATCATTGTACCTTCAAAGGGACTAATCACCAGATTACTCCCACAGCCACATAGTAGTAAATATAGGGATAGAAAAGTAGACCAAATGAATGTGTGGCTGGAAAGAGAGTGCAGGAGGGAAGCTTTCAATTCCCGAGGCACTAGGATTATTTCTGAGGGAGGTGGGAAATGTACAAGTTGGATAGGTTACATTTGAACAGAATGGTACCAAGATCCTTACGGGAGGGATTCTATTACTGTTGGGCCAGATTTAAAGTAGGTTGACAGCAGTGCTGCCTCTATTTTTTTTCCCAGTGCCTGAACCTTTAAGGTCTTTGTACAGCAGTGACTTCCGAAACCAGCAAGGAGATGGTATCCTGACAAGTAGTTCAGAGGGGAGAGACCTGTGATTGAATTAGAAATTAAAACTCTAGTGAATTACTCTGGATGGCAGAGGAAATACAAACTAGGTAAGGAAGAAGTGAGTTTAGCAAGGCTAAATGGGACATATTTTAATGCAAGGAGCGTGGTTGAATCAGGCGATGTTATTGCAGCTGAAGAGTACAGTTACGACATTCACTTTTAAAATACTTACATGAATCGACTAATAGAGATGGCTGGGCAGGTGATGTGTTGCAGCTATTGTATGTGGGAGCTGGCGGAAGCTCAGACTGCAGGGAGGTTGAGTGAACTGACCACAGCCATTGTTGTCCAGAACGCCATTCAAGTAAGGGGAGGAAAGAGAAATAGAGTAATAATAGGGTCTAGCATACATAGGTGAATAGATACTGTTCAGTGCAGGAAAGACAGACAGTCCAGAATGCTGAATTGTTTACCTGGTTTCATCTCTCCTGATCTGCAGAGGAACTTGGAGCGGGATGGGAAGATCCAGTCGTCATTGTCCACAACAACTGGTATCAACAACATATGCAGGACTAGGAAAGAGACTGTGCTGAGGGATTACAAACAGCTCAGGGTACATTAAAAGCAGAACCACAAAGTTAATATTCTCCAGGTTACTAGCTGAGCAATGTAAAGATAGGTGTAGGGTAAATGGTGTAGGGCAGAAAACTCATAGCTCAAAGATTGGTAAGAGAGAAATGAGTTCTGATTCAAGACACCAGTACTGAGGAAAGCGAGAGCTGGTTTGTTGGGATAGGGTTCACGTGAATCATACTGGGACCAGTGTCCCGGTGAATTGTATAAGTAGGATTGAAGATTGGCTTTAAACTGTTTAGTGATGGAGATAGGATTTAGTTGAGGGGAAAATTAAAAAAATAAAAATATACTAGAGAGCAGAGGTACAGGATAGTGCAGAAACACACAATAATTAAAGTGTATCAGGAAGGGGTAGACAATACATATGCAGAAGAGTGCAGGAGAAAGTAGAAAAAGAATGATCAGTAATTGTAAAAAGTCAAAGCTTTAGGCTCTTTATCTGAATTCACAGAGCATTGTGAGATAGATGAGTTGATGGCGTGAACAGAAATAAATTAATACAACTTGATAGCTATTAAAGAGATCTGCTTACAGAGTGACCAGGACTGGGAACTCAATATTCAAGGGCATTCAATGTTTCAGAAGAATAGGTAAAAGGGAACGGGAGGTGGGGCAGCTTTGCTAATAAGGAAAGTTATCATTGCACTGGCAGTAGTGATCTAGGTGCCCACAAAATGTTACTTCACAAGAAAGGAGCTCACAGTATTTCAAAAGAACATAAATAGGAGCAGAAGTAGGCCATTCAGCATCTTGTGTTGCCTCACTGTTCTATAACAGCATGGCTGATCTGCCCAAGCTTCAATTCCAGTTTTATGCCAGCTCCTCACAGCTATTAACTTCTCTTTTCCAAAAATCTGTCTACCTCCTCTTTAAATACATCCAGTGATCTGTACAGGGTGTTGGTGAGGCCACACCTGCGGTACTGTTTACAGTTTTGCTCCCTGTATTTAACAAAGGATACGTCACCATCGAAGGCAGTTCAAAAGAGATTCACTAGGCTGTTTCTGGGGATGAAGGACTTGACTTATTCAGAACAGTTGAACAGGTTGGGCCTTTATTCATTGGAGTTTAGAAGAAACATACAAGATTCTGAGGGGACACATAAACAGAAATTGCTAGAAAAACTCAGCAGGTCTGGCAGCATCTGTGGAGAGAAATCAGAGTTAACGTTTCGGTTCGAGCGACGCTTCCTCAGAATATTCTGGGAGGTCTTGACAGGGCAGATGTTGAGAAGATGTTTCCACTTGTGGGGAGTCTCGAACTAGGAGGCCGAATGAAGGGACACTCATTTAAAATTGTGAAGGAATTTTTTTTAATCTTGGGGCTAATGAATGTCTCTGGAATTCTCTATCCCAGAGAGATGCAGAGGAAGGATCACTGAAAATATTTAAAGAGACGGTAAATAGATTTTTGAAATCTCAGGAATTGATGGCTGTGCTGATCTGGCACAAAAGAATAAGTGAGGCCTGGGACAGACCAGCCATGATCTTGATGAATGGTGGAGCAGGCTTGAAGTGCTAAATGGCCTGTTCATGCTTAAATTTCATAGGCTGTTTCTGTGGAATAAAACAGATGAGTTGAAAGCACAGATAGGCACATGGGTGTAATATTGTAGCTATGACTGAGACTTGGCCGAAAGATGGGCAGGATTGGCAGCTCAATGTTCCTGGTTATAAGGTATTCAGTCAAAATAGAGTAGGTTAGAAGTTGGTAGAGGTCATAATATTGATCAAAGTATTTTATAGCAGTGAGGAGGGATGATATCTTGTAAGCATCATTAAATGAGACTATTTGGGTAGAAATATACAGACACTAAAAAAGCAGACAGGCTCTTGAGTGTGTACCCTCGGCCCCAAACATTCAGGGAGAGAGAGCTGATCAAATATAAAACTGAATTTCAGAGAAATGTAAGAATAATAAGCCAGTAATAATAGGGAATTTTAACTACCAAATATTAACTGGAATAGCTTGTGCCCAAAGTACGGAGAGAACAAAATTCTTAAATGGCATCCCAGAAATCCTTTTCAGCTGGTACGCAGAAAGCCCAACAACGGAGGGGAAGTTTCTGGACCTAATATGCAGAACTGAGATCGGCCAGGTGGCCGGCATATCAGGAAGGGTACATTTTGGAGATAGTGATAGTAACTCAGTTAACTTTAGGATACTTACAGAAAAAGGTAAGGACAGGCTGAGTAAAAAGGTTCCAAACTGGGGAAAGGCTAACTTTACTAAGATAGGATACAGTTTGCCCCAAGTGGACTTGGTGTAGCTAATGTGTCTTAGCAGTGGGAGGTATTCAAAGAGGAAAACATCTTCTGTAAAGACAAGAAGTGGGACCAAAATTGGAGAACTCTATTTCAAGTGACAGAAAGACCAAAAAAAGGAAGCAATGGCAGACGCAGAGGGCTCAGTACAGCAGAATCCCTTAAAGGAGTGTAAAGAGTGCAAGGGGATAACTTAAAAAGGAAATTTAGGGAAATTGAAAGACTGCATGAGAAAACATTTGTGGGTCGAATAAAGGAAAACCCAAAGGGATTTTTTAAATTTATAAAGAGCGAGAGAATAATAAGGGAAAGAACAGAACCTATTGGGGACCGTTGAGGTAGTCTATGGATCATGAAGACATGGGATCCGACCTTAATGAATACTTTACATTGGTCTTTACGGTGGAAAAGGATTACGCAGGTACAGATGTCAGGATGGAGGACTGTGACATGCTCAAAGAAATTAAAACAGTGAGGAGGTACTAGTGGGGTTAGCAACTTTAAAGGTGCTTAACTATGCAGGCCCAGATAAGATGTAAGGAGGCAACGGAAGAGATATCATGGATTCTAGGTATCAGCTTACTGTTTTGACAGCAGTCTCAAGGTTGCGAATTGAACATCTCAGCAGCACAAGTTATGGAATTTAATTTGACAACTCTGCTTCTTCATGAGATGGCTTCTAATTGAAAATGAACATAAAAGCTGTTTGTCCTAAAAACTCGGATAACAAGCTGTAGAGCCGGATGAACACAGCAGGCCAAGCAGCATCAAAGGAGCAGGAAAGCTGACATTTCGGGCCTAGACCCTTCTTCAGAAATAGGGGAGGGGAAGGGGATTCTGAAATACATAGGGAGAGGAGGGGAGGCGGATAGAAGATGGATAAAGGAGAAGATAGATGGAGAGGGGACAGACAGGTCAAAGAGGCGGGGTGGAGCCAGTAAAGGTGAGTGTAGGTGGGGAGTTAGGGAGGGGATAGGCCAGTCCAGGGAGGACGGACAGGTCAAGGGGGCGGGATGAGGCTAGTAGTTAGGAGATGGGAGTGGGGCTTGAGGTGGGAGGAGGGGATAGGTGGGAGGAAGGACAGGTTAGGGAGGTGGGGACAAGCTGGGCTGGTTTTGGGATACGGTTGGGGGAGGGGAGATTTTGAAGCTTGTGAAGTCCACATTGATACCATTGGGCTGCAGGGTTCCCAAGCGAAGTATGAGGTGTTGTTCCCGCAACCTTCAGGTGGCATCGTTGTGGCACTGCAGGAGGCCCAGAATGGACATGTCATCTGAGGAATGGGAGGGGGAGTTGAAATGGTTCACGACTGGGAGGTGCAGTTGTTTGTTGCGAATCGAGCGTAGGTGTTCCGCAAAGTGGTCCCCAAGCCTCCGCTTGGTTTCCCCGATGTAGAGAGGCCACATCTGGAACAACGGATACAGTATACCACATTAGCAGATGTGCAGGTGAACATCTGCTTGATGTAAATGGTCTCCTTGGGGCCTGGGATGGGGGTGAGAGTGGAGGTGTAGGGGCAGATGTAGCACTTCCTGCGATTCTAGGGAAAAGTGTCGGGTGTGGTGGGGCTGGAGGGGAGTGTGGAGCGGACAAGGGAGTCACGGAGGGAGTGGTCCCTCCGGAAAGCAGATAAGGATGGGGAAGGAAAAATGTCTATGGTTGTGGGGTCGGATTGCAGATGGCGGAAGTGTCGGAGGATGATGCGTTGGATCCGGAGGTTGGTGGGATGGTACGTGAGGGCGAGGGGGAGTCTGTCTTGGTTGTCATTGTGGGGAGGGGGTGTGAGGGATGAGTTGCGGGAAATGCGGGAGACACGGTCGAGGGTGTTCTCGACCACTGAGGCGGGAAGTTGCGGTCCTTGAAAAACGAGGAAATCTGAGATGTTCAGGAGTGGAATGCCTCATCCTGGGTGCAGATGCGGCGGAGGAGGAGGAATTGGGAATAGGGGATGGCATTTTTGCAGGAAGGTGGGTGGGAGGAGGTGTATTCTAGGTAGCTGTGGGTGTCGGTAGGCTTGAAATGGATATCGGCTTCCAGGTGGAGCACCTTCCTGCAAAAATGCCATCCCCTATTCCCAAATCCTTCGCCTCCGCCGCATCTGCTCCCAGGATGAGGCATTCCACTCCCGAACATCTCAGATGTCCTCATTTTTCAAGGACCGCAACTTCGCCCCCCCTCAGTGGTCGAGAACTCCCTCGACCGTGTCTCCCGCATTTCCCGCAACTCATCCCTCACACCCCCTCCCTGCAATAACAACCAAGACAGAATCCCCCTCGTCCTCACGTACCATCCCACCAACCTCCGGATCCAACGCATCATCCTCCGACACTTCCGCCATCTGCAATCCGACCCCACCACCAAAGACAATTTTCCTTCCCCATCCTTATCTGCTTTCCGGAGGGACCACTCTCTCCGTGACTCCCTTGTCCGCTCCACACTCCCCTCCAGCCCCACCACACCCGGCACTTTTCCCTGCACCCGCAGGAAGTGCTACACCTGCCCCTACACCTCCACCCTCACCCCCATCCCAGGCCCCAAGGAGACCTTTTACGTCAAGCAGATGTTCACCTGCACATCTGCTAATGTGGTATACTGTATCCGTTGTTCCAGATGTGGCCTTCTCTATATCAGGAACACCAAGCGGAGGCTTGGGGACCGCTTTGCGGAACACCTACGCTCGCTTCGCAACAAACAACTGCACCTCCCAGTCATGAACCATTTCAACTCCCCCTTCCATTCCTTATATGACATGTCCATCCTGGGCCTCCTGCAGTGCCACAACGATGCCACCTGAAGGTTGCGGGAACAACACCTCATACTTCGCTTGGGAACCCTGCAGCCCAATGGTATCAATGTGGACTTCACAAGCTTCAAAATCTCCCCTCCCCCAACCGTATCCCAAAACCAGCCCAGCTTGTCCCCACCTCCCTAACCTGTCCTTCCTCCCACCTATCCCCTCCTCCCACCTCAAGCCCCACTCCCATCTCCTAACTACTCGCCTCATCCCGCCCCCTTGACCTGTCCGTCCTCCCTGGACTGACCTATCCCCTCCCTAATTCCCCACCTACACTCACCTTTACTGGCTCCACCCCGCATCTTTGACCTGTCTGTCCCCTCTCCATCTATCTTCTCCTTTATCCATCTTCTATCCGCCTCCCCTCCTCTCCCTATGTATTTCAGAATCCCCTTCCCCTCCCCTATTTCTGAAGAAGGGTCTAGGCCCGAAACGTCAGCTTTCCTGCTCCTTTGATGCTGCTTGGCCTGCTGTGTTCATTCAGCTCTACACCTTGTTATCTCAGATTCTCCAGCATCTGCAGTTGCTACTGTCTCTGTCCTAAAAACTCATTCGTTCTTGATGTTCAGGAAAGAGAACTGGCTGCCCAACCTGGTCTGTGATCATCATGTACCTCTGGTCCCATGCTAATACAAAAGTGTAAAACTGCAGATGCTGGGAATCTGAAATAAAAGAACAGGGAATGCTATAGATACTTAGCAGGCCAGGCAGAGATTTGTCGACAGTAGTTTGATGAAGTTTCATGTATTCTGCTGGGCTGACCTGTTCTAACACCGTCCTGGGTTGTCAGGGCACCTTGGCGTGCGCAATAAATGCCATGCTGCCAAGTATACTCCAGACTTGAGCAACTCCAGCTGGGGTTACTGACTAATGCAGACTGAAGCCTTTCTGTTGTACATTGCACAAAGACTGGAGTTAATCCTAAAGGGAGATGAGCTGTTGATTCTTTGTCGTACTAATTCCATTTGAAGTTTCTGACTGTACATTGACCCTGCTTTGCAAATAGATTGCCAGTTTCTTCAAAACCTGTCACAATTTTACCAATGCTAGGATCACTGTTGGTGCTAAGAGGTTAATGATAAAGATGTTCCTTCCCTCATCTCACCTGTTGTGCACTTTCCTATCTCCTAAAGCCAAATGTTGACACATTTTGATCTGAATCCTAGGCATGTGGAGGACAAGTCAACAGTGTTTGGAACAGCGTTGAATTACGCAGCCTGTAGAATCCTTGGTGTTGGACCAGATGACCCTGACCTGGTGCGGGCGAGAAATAACCTTCATGATAAAGGTCAGGCTTCAAATAACTAATCACAGTGTGCAAGGAACTTTCTTTTTGTTGAGGGTTTGTAGCTGCCTTTGCTGAGTGGGCTACAAATGTAAGGAAGACTGCTCTGTAGCACTCAGTAAAAATAAAAACTCTTCAAACTCTTGACAGTCACTTCCCTAATTAACTTGGTGTAATAAAATAGCTTAAATCATGAATTTGAGAGAAGCAGCAGTGAATACAGGTTGGCTCCAGCAACAATGACAAACAGAAATAAAGAAGGCATGTGTCAAACTGAACATCTCAAGGTTTTCTAGAAATTGAATGTAGCTCGAAGTAGCACATTCCATGATACATCTGATTTGTCAAAAGCTGAGAGCAAACTGATGAGCTAATAACAGACAAAGAAATGATACCAACAGGAAGCAAAAAATGCCAGGAGATTAGAATGGAGTAGCTCCACACAGGAAATAGACAGACAGAGGGCGAGAAGGAGGATGGGGGAGGGAGGCTACAGGGCAGGGCCAGGCAGTGGAAGGATGAGGAAAGGGGCAGCCTAGGGGGAGGCAGAGGCGCAGCCTCCATGGAAGCTTGGGACCAGCAAGGGTGAGTCACTGGTGACAGGTTGGTATGAAGTGGTGTATCAGGGTTAGGGAGCAGTGGAAGAGGTATTGGAGCATGGAGCTAGAGTGTGGAGGAGGGTGTGGGAAAGGACTGTCCGCCTGGATGTAATGAGGGACAGTGCTATGACTGTGATGTGGAGCAACACTGTTGGTCCAGGGGGCTGCTATCTAGCCCACCTGCAGCTTGTGCATGACCATCTGATGGTGGTTTCAGCATGAACTAGCTTTTCCAAGTTAAGAATAAATAATGAGAGGCCTAAGTGAGATGTTAGTTCTGTCCACACAAGTCCATCTGAGAGTGTTGGCTGGCAGGATCCTTACAAGGCTTGGAATTTCCCTACAAGATGTCAGTTATCCTCAGAGAATGTAATTCAAGCAACGCCAGCTGGAAGAGGATCAGCTCAGCCTGCAAGGTCGCTCATGTCTCATAGAGTGACTGGACACATAAGTGAACTTTCCATTACAAATGAACAAAAAACACAACACTATTACTTCCACAATAAAAATGCCCCTAACTCCCCTCTAACAATCGGTGCATGCCATCCATGAAATGTGCCAGTACAATTCACCCTCTGACTGCAAGATTAATTATCACCAGTTAATGATGGTGAATGTATGAATAATGTGAAGTCAATGTAACATGAAGTATTTACAAGTAAAATTTCATTTGAAATACACTCTTAGCGCCTTTGTACTCTCAGGCTTTGTGTGAACAGCAATAGAGTTGGGCAGAGAAGCTGTGACTGTGATGTGGAACATCTCTGTTTGTCCAGGAGGCTGCTATCTAGCCCACCTGCAACTAGTGCATGAGCAACTGATGGTGGCTTCAGCATGGAATAGCTTTTCCAAATTGTCTCCCCTGAAAGTTGGAAGCAGTTTAAATTTTAGCTGAAACTTCGTGAGGACCAGTAGTAAGCGAGAGAATGGAATTGACATTGTCTTCCTATTCGGCTGTCAGGAGCAAACACTGTTTAAAATTCCACCCTTCCTCAGCTCATTCTTTCCATGGGCTCCGTTACCTACTCCCTGAGTCCTCCCTTCAGCTCCATCCCATCCCACCCAACTCTGAACCAACCCGGTTTCATGAATAGGAATATCTTATTTTGCCCCAGTAGAATTCCTTCTGTTTTGATTCTGCAGACATGACTGACTGATCAGTGCTCTTCAACTCCTGCTCTATCTGTCTTTCCTTTCAGTCCTTATATATGTGTCTTTCTTCAGCTCTATGCCCATTCTCAAAATCCTGTTTTTGCATCTTGCCAGTCCCAGCTGATCAGAGCACTGAGACCATCGTGGCCAAAGTAGGCCAGTTACATGCTCTCTAATTAAAACTTTGGTTTGTTTTTACTTGTCCCGTTTCTAGTTCTGTGGCATTTGACGTGATCAGCTATGCCATCCTCCTTTGCAATTCTCTTTACCATGGTACTGTTCATTTCTACCTGCCCAGACACAGCCAGTATTTCCCTGGGATTGTCCTGCACCTTTTCTTTTCACTCACCTACATGCCAGTCCTCAAGTGATGGTCCACAAGTATAAAGTGAGACTTAGTTTTGATCAACATCCACTCCATTTTTGGGTTCTTGAGTTTTCTATTAACAATTATCGAGTCCAGCATTAAAATTGTGGTGCTGAGCCTCACTGGTGACCTTGTTGTGGATGCTGTTTACACCTTTCCTGGGTTCAGGTCTACTCGCAGACTAGGTTATGTGTGAGCTAAAGTTTCCTTCAGAATATCATCAAGAACCAAAACAGCTTGCACCTGTCTCTTTACCAGTGTTCTCCATCTGTTTTTTCAAGCTAAGTTACTCTGAACAAAACTTCTCCAACCTATTTTGGAGCAAAATTGAATTTCAAACTCTGCATCCTATCCAACACCTAACCTGCTTAGTTTTTCTTCTATGTTAACAGTGGACTCTGCAACATGTTTCCTCCTGCTGAAATCCTTATTCATGCTTTAATCCCTTTCACATTCACTTTCTCCATTAATTTATTGCCCCCTTATTCTTGCTGTTCATAAAATGAAACCTGCATAAATCTCAGAGAGGAGGAACTGCCGATGCTGGAGTCTGAGATAACAAGGTGTAGAGCTGGATGAACACAGCAGGCCAGGCAGCATCAGAGGAGCAGGAAAGCTAACGTTTCGGAACCCGAAACGTCAGCTTTCCTGCTCCTCTGGTGCTGCCTGACCTGCATAAATCTGTAGTGTGTGAAATGCTTTGTAATCATACCTACGAATGTTTAGTAAAGACAAGTAATCATCTATAATGGATTTCAGGTGGTGCTGTCGGAATCCCATCCTGGGGTAAATTCTGGTTGGCAATTCTTAATGTCTACAGCTGGGAAGGAATGAACACCTTGTTTCCAGAGATGTGGTGAGTCCTGATCAGCAACTGAACTGCTCAACGGTTCTGAGAACTCTCATTAGTTCTGAGGAAGGATCACTCAACCAGAAACATTTCTGTCTACAGATGCTGCCAGACCTGCTGAGCTTTTCCAGAAATTTCTGTTTTTGTCTCTGATTTACAGCATCCACAGTTCTTTCAGTTTTTATGTGCATAATGGTTCATGTTTTTGCAGCCACTTTGAGAACAGCAGAAAAATGCAGTGAGAAAAAAAGCAAAATGAGGCAATCTCAGCCTTAGCATGAAACAAAATTGAGTGAAAGCAAGAAAGGGTTTCTAGTTCCTTCATAAGTATATGACATCTCTAAAAAGGGAGGATGTGATGTTCAATTAGGTTATGTGCAACGAAGCAGGGTAGACAAGTTAGAAGATCACTTGAAAATAATGAACTGTCTCAAATTAAAATTGATAATCATAGATATTCTTGAGATAAAAGCACAAACTGCTGCATAACTCAGCAAATCTGGCAGCATCAATGGAGAGAGGAACAGAGTTAATGTTTCAGGACTGCTATGACCTTTTCAGAACTGAAAAGAGCTGGAAAATGATTTTTTAAAATGCTGATAATGGAGGAGGAGCAGGTGGAACAGATGGTGAGGGCGCCCAAAACAAAAGTCAAAGGTAGTGTTAATGGTGGTAAAGGAAAGATAGCGATGTAAATGGGTGTAAATGTTAGGTGTGAAAAGGAGAAAATGGGTCCAGTTTGCTGAGGGCAAAAAAGTACAAAGAAGTTATGAGTTGGTAGTGGGGGGAAATTGTGTAATGAAAATGGAGAACAGAAGTCATGTTCTGAAAATGTGGAACTTCATATTGAGTGCAAAATGCTGTAAAGTGCCCAAGCAGAAAATAAATTCCTTGGGATTGTTTTGAGCTGTGTTGAAACATTACAGCAGTCCCAGGACAGAAATGTTTGCATGGGAGCAAGATGATTTATTAAAACAGCAAACACCTGGAAGATTGAGATCATTCTTGCAGATAGAGAGGAGGTGTTCCATAAAGTGGTTACCCAGTCTGTGCTTGGTCTCTCCACTAAATCAGAAGACATTGCAAACAGTGAATGCAGTAGAGCAGATTGAGTGAAGTGCGGGTAAATTACTGCTTCACCTGGAAAGTGTGTGTGGGCCTTGGGTAGTAAGGAAGGAGGAAATCTTGCATCTTCTGCAATTACTTGGAAAGAGGCCATGGTTTGTGTGAAGAAGTGTTAGAAGTGATGGAATGGACCAGGGTATTATGGAGGGATCAGTCCCTGTAGAATGCTAACAGTGGAGGGGAGAGTGTTTGGTGGTGGTGGTATCCTGCTGAGGGTGGCAGAAATTGCAGAAGATAATCCCTTGATTGCAGAGATTTGTGAGGTGAGAAATGAGGGAAAGGGGAACCCTATCGACGTTCTCGGAAGGAGGGGAAACATGACAGATGAATCGGGCACAGTTGAAGGCTGTCGGTGGGGAGGAATCCTCAGTTGAGGCAAAAGGCATATCAGAGGCAGCCTGGTGACAGGTGGCATTTTTGGAACAAATGTGTCAAAAATGGAAGAATGGGAGGATGAAATGGAATCCTTTTAGGAAGCAGTATATGAGGAAGTGTAGTGAAGGAGCCACAGGTTTCTGATTGATATTGGTGGACAGCCTATTCTCGGAAATCGAAAAGTGCAGTCAAGAAAGGGAAGGAAGGAGTCAGTGATGGACCAGATGAATGTGAGAGAAGGATTTTCCAGCATTCGCCATATGTTGCTTTTATTTGATAGTGTGGAATCGGACTATGAATTTAATTTCTCAAGGGCAGTTGAGGGCGGGCATTAAATGTTGGACCGGCCATTCATGCCCACGCCCCATGAACAAATTTTTTTTAACAATTCAGTGATCCAACAGAAGAACCAGTTCAGACTGATTTATTGGAAAAGAGATCAAATCAAAGAGTCAAGTGGCAATGGGTGATTATTCACAGTTTAATTCTGACTAGATGTGAAGAGGGTGTGTCAACATCCTGGAGTTCTATAAAAAGCGACGTTTGAGCAAATCTTGGTTTGAAAAGACATGTTCTAACTATGGGCAAAATGGTAGAAAAGAAAACTCGGACCCAAAAATTTTTTTTTTTTAAAAACTGCCTCAAAATCCACCTTTGACCAGATTTTCTAGCCTTGTTGATGTGTCTGTGCCTAGTTCTGTTTTCATTGTGTCTATTTTTGAATCAGTAGAGATAGGTGTAGATGTAGGCCATTCAGCCCCTCAGACTTTCACAACCATTCAATAAGACCATGGCTGATCTGACTGTGGGCCTTTTTAGGCTGTAATTAGTGGGATATTGCAAGGATCAGTACTTAGGCCCTAATACATAATCAATAACTTGGAGGTAGGTGGCACAGTGGCTCAGTGGTTAGCACTGCTGCCTCACAGTGCTAGGGACCCAAGTTCAATTCCAGACTTGGGTGACAGTCTGTGTGAGTTTGCAAGTTCTCCCTGTGTCTGTGTGGGTTTCTGTCGGAAGCTCTGGATTCTCCCCCAGTCCAAAAATGTATGGGTTAGGTGGATTGGCCATTCTGAATTGCCCATAGCCTCTAGGGATGTGCAGATTAAGTGTGTTAGCCATGGTAAATGCGGGGTTACGGAGATAGAGTAGGAGGCTGGGTCTGGACAAATGCTGTTCGGGGGGTCGGTGAGACTTGATGGGCCAAATGGCTTCTTTCTGCACTGTAGAGGTTCTATGTTTTTGTGACTACATATAGCACCTCCAAATTTGCAGATGATATAAAACTTAAGTGGGAATGTTTGTTGTGAGGATGACGTAAAATGTTTTCGGGGACGGACTTAGTAAATGGGACACAACATAGCAGATGGAATATAATGTGGAAAAATGTGAGGTTATTCACTTTAATAGGACGAACAGATGTGTAGAGTGCTTATACGGTAAGAGGTCAACAAGTGTAGACGTGGAAAGGGATCTTGTTATCCTTGTCAATAAGTCACTGAAAACTATCACGCAGGTGTGGCAAGTTGTTAGGAAGGGCTAATGGAATGTTAGCCTTTATTACAAGAAGATTTGGGTACAGGAGTAGTGAAGTCTTCCTTCAATTGTATAGGAGCATGGTGAGACTGCCTGTGGATTATACTGTACAGTTTTGGTTCCTTTATCTCAAGAAAGATAATATTGCCATAAAGCGAGTGCAGCGAAGTTTCACCAGAAATGCTTAGGCTGACCTCTGAAGAGGGATTCGAAAAACTCGGTCTATATGGCAAAAGTGGAGAACTGGTTAGCAGACAGTAAACCAAGAGTAGGAATAAATGGGTCTTTTTATGAGTGGCACCCAATGACTAGTGGAGTACTGCGAGGATCAGTACTAGGACTCCAGCTGCTCACAATATATATGAATGATTTAGGTAAGGGAACTAAGTGTAATAGCTCCACATTTGCAGATGTCACAGCTGGATGGGAGAGTGAACAATGGAGAAGATGCAGAAACTTCTGTGTGATTTTGACAAGTTCAGTGAGTGGGCAAATGCATAGCAGATGAAGTATAATGTGGATAACACAGAGAGCAGTGAACCTGTGGAATTCTCTGCCACAGAAAGTGGTTAAGGCCAAAACATTGAATGTTTTCAAGAAGGTATCAAATATAGTTCTTGGGGCTAAAGGCTTCAAAGGGTATAGGAAGAAAGTGAGAATAGAGTGCTGAGATGGATGCTCAGCCATAATGTTTAATAGTGGGTAAGCTTGAAGTGCTGAATGGTCTACTCCTGTTCCTATTTTTTGTGTTTCCATGTTTCTGTGAATGAGGGGTGATCTCTTTTGAATTTAAAAAATAGTTAAAGTGATAGACAGGCTGGATACTGTTGAAATTTTTCATATGATTAAGGTGTCTCAAATCAGGGGTCATTATTTGAAAATAAGAGGGATAGTATTTTAACTGAGATGAGAAGAATTTTTTTTACTCTGAGGCTTGCAAGCCTCAAATTCTCTATCACAAAGGGGCACGGAGGCTGAGTCTTTGAGTATGTTTAATGTAGAGATTGACACATTTTCTGATTACTAGTGGTGCACAGGCTTATGCGGATGAGGTGGGTAAAAGCATTGAAGTGTTCAAGCATGCTTGATGGGCTGAATGATACTCCTGTTCCTAAGATCTTAATTTCACTTTCCTGCCTGCCATCCCATCACCTTTGACTTCCTTGTAGATTAAAAAGAATTCTACAGACTAACGACCTTCCGAGAGCGGAAATTCCTCCTCATCTCCATCTTAAAGCATTTTGAAACTGTGGCCACGAATTCCAGATCCTCTCATAAGGGGAAATATCCTCTCAATATCTACCCTGTCAATCCCCTTCAGAATCTTGTGTTTTAATAAGATCACCTCTCTCTTCTAATTTTATTAACTTATCTATTTTGTTATAAATGCTTTCTGCATTCAGGAATCCTTAGCCCTCACCCTGTCCTATTAAGTGGGCTACTGCCTGACATCACTTTGCTGTTTATTTGTAGTCTTGATGGAGAAGTGAGATGTAGTGCTGAGATATGAGATAAAAGCTGGACAATGTTGGTCTTTCACACAGCTTTGCAAGGATTCGCTTGTTACTGAGCTTGTCTGTGTTGTAATTCTATCAGGCTCTTCCCTCGATGGGTACCAGCTCACCCTTCCACCTTATGGTGTCACTGTCGGCAGGTCTATCTCCCTATGAGTTACTGCTATGCTGTCCGCCTCACTGCACAGGAAGATGACCTAATTCTCAGCCTGCGCCAGGTAGGAATCAATCACTTAGAATGCTTGGTGTTTTGAGCCGAGTTTGTATTTTCACAGTTGGGGAACTTGTGTTGTTCAACTTCAAGCATCAGATGTGGCTGGGTCTGGTCAGGCTTTCACTGCAATGAGTAAGTATATACACTCTGAGGACTTCAGAACCTAGATTTAGTGAGCTCCATTCTATTGTTCTAGGAGGTTGTACTTTGTAGGTGGAGGGAAGGGGTTTGGTAGAGGTAAAGAGGGTGCTGAAGATGGATAGAGAGTGGTGAGGGGGTAGCATGGGGTTTGGTGTGGGGAGGTGGAGGGTGGCAGCAATTGTTGAGGGGGTGTTGGAGGGTGGAAGGGGGAGTAGTAAGTGTAATTTGTTGGGGTGGATGCAAGGGAGGTTGTGAAGAGGGTGAGCGGATGGGATGGTGGCGAACAAGAAAGAAATGGGTGTGCGGTGAATGGGAAGGGTTGCGAGTGAGAGGCGTTGGTGGGTGGGACAGGGGTGAGAGGGAACGGGGTCCCTGCCTTGTCTGAAAATGAAGATTGACAGTTAACAGTTTCTGCATCATCTCCATTGCAAACAATGGCCCAACCAATGAGCATCACCTTCTCATGCTGTGTTAATTGATGCCCCTTTTCCAAGTCTGGCTTTTTACTGCCTACTTCCTGATGAATGCAAGATGAAAAGCTTTAGGAAGGCGGACCAAGGTTGACCTGCTGGGATCCTCCAAATAATCAAGCCTCATATGAAGGGCTGTTTCAAAGTGGTAGGAAGAGGGAAGCTCTGTGCTTGTAAGCTGGTTATAGACTAGCTTACATCTAAAATTTACTTGGTCTTCACTACTGTCAACTAAGCTTAGTTTTCCAAACTTGCGTACATAGTTGTGTTCCTAAAGAGAGTAAGCATACGCTCTGTACTGGGCTATCAGGCGTTCCACTCACATGGATGTCCTTGTGTTCCCTTAACACTCCTGAGAAAATGAGCAGTCATTATCCTTATTGCCAATTCCCTGCTATCTTGAACCAGTACCTAATGTCAGAGCATGTCCTAAATCCAGAATGACAGGGATGAGGTGGGAGAGAAGCCTTGGAAGAGGAAATCTTCATCCTCAGAATTTGGTTTGTATTTTACGTTATTGTTATTGCAATGATGTTATGGTTGTGCTGTAAGTACAGCCAAAGTACTTTAAAATTTGTGTGCACCCTGTTTAAATCTGGGGCAGTAGAGGCAATATGGACAAAAACTTCTAAACTTTCTGTAGCTGGAACTGTACCCTATTAATGAGAAAATCTTGCTGATAATGATTCCTTTGTTTTATTTTAAGCATGGGTCCTGTGATTGCTGCTGTGTTGTCATTTCTCATGTAGCAGTAAAGATTGCTTTGCCTTGCCACATTCTAACTTTGATTTTGCTTCAGGAGCTCTACATTCAAGACTACAGCTCCATTGACTGGCCTGCCCAGCGAAACAATGTGGCGGCATGTGATCTGTACACCCCACACAGCCAGCTTCTCACCATTGCGTACGGTATGTAGAGGAGATTGAAAACAGTTTATCTTTTTCGAGGATGTCGATATGTAAGATAATTCTTGAAGTGAAATGGTCATTGGTAAAAATGCATTTCCTATGCCTCTGAAACTGGTGACTCCAAGACAGTTGAAGTATTCAGTTAATGCCAATTGGCTGCTCCTGATTGAAGAGTCTCCAGCTCAACCACCAACCAGTCCACGTAGATAAAGTTTTTATCTAAAAACATGATGGGTTTTTGACCTTTCTTTCAAGAGGACAGCATTACGAAGTGTTCTGACCCAGGAATAGCAAGCCAAACCAAATCAGCCTTACTATCACTGGATTATTAAGACTGTAACTTTAATAGGACACAGCTAAACAACAAAGTAATCTAATTAATACCTATGATTTGTACCCAGTCTTTGCACTCTCACTCTCACAGACAGATTGACAGACACAATTAAGGGATAAGTTAAAAATGAAGTAAAAGAATTCTAATTTGCCAGTTCATATAAACAGTTTCAGACATCATGCTCTCCTGCAAACCTTGATAATGAGATGTACGTAACTGTGTATCTAATTCATAGAATCATAGAATCCCTACAGCTTGTGGAAACAGGGCAATCGGCTCAACGAGTCCATACCACCCCTCCGAAGAACATCCCACCCAGACCCACTCCTATCCCTTTTCCCTGTAACACTGCATTTCTCATGGCTAATCCACCTAACTTACACACCCCCGGACACTGAGTAATTTAATATGGCCAATCCACCTAACCTGTACATCTTTGGACTGTGGGAAGAAACCAGAGCACCTGGTGGAAACCCACGCAAACAAGGGGAGAACACAGACAGTGCTAACCACTGAGCCACCATGCTGCCTGTTCGACTTCGAAGTTGCAGGTGAAAGCAAACAGTTTAAGTAAACTTTCAGAAGTATTTTTTTAATAGATTCTTTTCTTTTCTTTTCACAGAACAACAGTTTTCTAACTGGATAGAAAACAAGAGAGAGTAAAACACAACAGCATCCTGAAGTTCCCAAAAATCACTCTACACCCACCAAAAATAGACAGAACTGGTCTTTTTTTCAATCAATATTCTCTGTAGTTGGCTGGTTAGCATCAGTTCTCTCTTGACCAACTCAACATTCTCCAGCTACCAGCCCTGGCATGGCAACACACAGCATGATAAATCATCCACAGTATTCCTTAGATAGTAAATTTCATTATTTTCCGGGCCAGTTACCAACAGCAAAAGTCTGCATTTGTTTCTTCCTCTTTTAAGGCGGCACGGTGGCTCAGTGGTTAGCACTGCTGCCTCACAGCTCCAGGAATCCGGGTTCGATTCCACCCTCAAGCAGCTATCTCTATGGAGTTTGCACATTCTCCCATGTCTGCGTGGGTTTTCTCCCATAACCCAAGATTTGCAGTCTAGGTGGATTGGCCATGCTAAATTGCAGTGTTCAGGGATGTATAGATAAGGGAGATGGGTTTGGGTGGGATGCTCTGAGTGTCGGTGTGGACATATTGGGCTGACGGGCCTGTTTCCACACTGTAGGAATTCTAATTCTAAAAAAGATAAAATTTGCAGCAGGTCAAAGTTCAACTAAGCCTAATGTCAACTCATGATTCCACTAAAAAGAATGATAAAAATAAAGGAAAATTAGTGAAGGCCTCTAACAAGGATGGACGTTATGTCAAAGTTACAGAAAACTCTAGAAGATTCCACCCGGAACCCTGTGTTCATTCCTGGATACCACATCTCTGAAAGGACAAAATAGCCTGGGTTTTATTTTTGAGGGGAAGGAGGTTACAATGCTGTCCAATATTGAAATTCCCAAGGACGAAAGCTAGGCTAACTAGGTTAAATCATGAGAAGAGGTTGCACAGACAAGGCGACACGGTGGCACAGTGGTTAGCACTGCTGCCTCACAGCGCCAGGGACCTGGGTTCGATTCCAGCCTCGGGCGACTGTCTGTGTGGAGTTTGCACACTCTCCCCGTGTCTGCGTGGGTTTTCTCTGGGTGCTCCGGTTTCCTCCCACAGTCCAAAGATGTGCAGGTTAGGCGGATTGGCCATGCTAAATTGTTCAGGGAGGTGATGGGTCATGGGGGGATGGATCTGGGTGGGATACTCTGAGGTTCGGTGTGGACTTGTTGGGCCGAAGGGCCTGTTTCCACACTGTAGGGATTCTAATTCTAATTCTAATTCTAATTCTAATCCACAGACAAGGTTTTTATTCCTTGATTATAGAAGATTAAAGTTGATTGTTTTAGAGATTTGATGGCATGACAGAGAAACTATTTCCACTGCTGAGAATCCAGACCTTATCCAGGGTAGATCATTCGGAGGTGATATAAGAAAGCACTTTTATATGCAGAAGCTGTGGATTCATGCGGATTCTTTCCCTGAACAGCTTGTGAATGCTAGTGCAACAGGGCTTTCAAGATTGAATTATGATTTTTTTTTACATGATAGAGGAAAATTAATCAAATGTTGCTAAATGGATTTAAGATATATATAGCTTTAATTGATCAGCACAGCAAGCCAAAGGGGCTGAATGGAAAGTTCCTGTATTTCTGTTTGCCTGAGCTGCAAAGTCTGTTTGGAACAGGGCAATTGGGTCAGCTGTCCTTTCTTCAGCTGATACAGCAGGCAAAGTGAATACAAAGCTTAAAGCACTACAATGAAGATGTACAGATGTTACAGATGTACAGATGTTACAGATGTACAGATG